ACACACACACACACACACACACACACACACACACACACACACACACACACACACACACACACACACACACACACACACACACACATTATGTTCACCCCCCCCCCCCAAAAAAAATTACACAACCACCAACCAACCCCACAATACCCCTTCTCCCCCTCTCCACACCAGATGGTCGTACGTGACGGTGGCGGTGGTGCTGGTTCGGTCCATCTCACCCAACTTTGCCAAGCTGTTCTCCAAGCGCAACAAGCTGAGCGAGGCCTTCCGCACGGCTGTTGGGCGACTTGTCACCCACAGCGAAGCCATTGCCGCCCTCAACGGCGACGCACGCGAGCAGTCCATTGTGCAGCAGGCGTTTGCCAGCCTCAACAGCCACATCACGCGCATGATCAGCACTCAGTGGCGGTTTGGCATGGCGGAGGACTTTATCACCAAGTACGCAGCGTCCACCATGGCCATGATTGTCATCCTGGGGCCGTTCTTTGGTGGCGACCTGCGTACAGACTACACACCGGAAGGGAACGCCACCACGCTGTCCACGATGCGCTACGTGACAAGCGTCATCATCCACCAGCTCACCGCCATTGCCGGGCTGGCCCGTTGCCTGCGCAAGATCATGTCTCTGCAGAGCTACGTGCGGCGTGTGGGCGGCATGCGCGATGCCTTGCTGGAGATTGCCGCACACGAGCAGGAGGAGGTACAGTTTGCGGATGGAGACGCCATTGCCTTTGATGGCGTCGAGGTTGTCACGCCAACAGGCCAGAAACTCGTCTCTGACCTGTCCTTCCACGTGCAACCTGGCCGCAACATGCTCATCACGGGCCCGAACGGCGCCGGCAAGTCAAGCATCTTCCGCTGCCTCGGCGCGCTGTGGACGGTGCAGCGTGGCACCATCACCCGCCCCGGTGGCAGCGGCCAGGGTCTGCACGACAAGGTGTTCTACCTGCCGCAGAAGCCGTACAACGTTGTTGGCGACCTGCGTGACCAGATCATGTACCCGGTCACCTCAGAGGCGACCAAAGCCGCGCTGAGCGACGAGGACCTGCGGGCCCTGCTTCAACTCGTCGACCTTGCCTACCTCGTCGACCGCAGCCAGGCCACCACCGCCGTCAACTGGGAGCAGACCCTCAGCCTTGGCGAGACGCAGCGGCTGGCCATGGCACGCCTCTTCTACCACCGGCCCGTCTTTGCCATCCTGGACGAGTGCACGAGCGCGGTGTCGCACGCCATGGAGCGTCGCCTGTACCGGCTGTGCGCCAAGTACAACATCACGTGCATCACCATCAGCCACCGACCCGCCCTGACGGCCTTCCACGACCTGCGGCTGGAGCTGGACGGCAAGGGCGGTTATGATGTGCAGGAACTCGCACACAACACAACAGCCATGCTGCGCCACTCAAGTGACAGCAGCAGCAGCAGTAGCAATGCCGATGATGATGGTGGCGATGGAAGCGTGAGTCGTGAGAGTGACGATGCCATCGTTGTCCCGCATCCTTCGGCTTCTCTTGTGCAGCACGCCAGCGACGGTGGTGAGGATGGCGAGGAGAAGAACATCACCTTGACCCATCATCATCATCATCATCATCATCACCACCACCAGCAGCAGCCACGCGAGCACGCCTCTCTGGCCTCCCCCCTGACCAGCATGCCTCGCACATCACGGCTGCGTCGACTCTTCAAGCTGCTGCGCTTCCTCGTGCCGTCCATCACCAAGCGGGCAGGCAAGATGCTTGTCGCCCTGGGTGCTGTTGTCATCTTCCGCGTTGCGCTGACAGACCGCATTGCCCGCCTGAACGGCGAGACGGTTCGCTTGCTGCTGTTGGATGACCTGCCTGGCTTCAAGCGCCTCGTTGGCATCAGCCTGCTGCAGTGCGTTGCGTCAAGCGTCCTTGCGCCAACCCTCATCTACCTCACCCGCTCCCTCAGCCTCCACTGGCGCAACCAGCTTCAGGACAGACTCTGTACGTGTCTGTCTGTGTCGGTCTGTGTCTGTGTCTGTGTCGGTCTGTGTCTGTCTGTGTGTGTATGTGTGTGTTTGTGTACGTGTGCTGTACTGACGTGTGCGCAGGATGCTGAGGTGCGATATCAGCTTGTTGCCATAACTCATCACTCCTGAACCTGCGTGCGTGTGCTCGTGGGCTCGTGTGCACACGTGTGTGTGTGTGTGTGTGTGTGTGTGTGTGTGTGTGTGTGTGTGTCTGTGTGTCTGTATGTCTGTATGTCTGTGTGTGTGTGTGCGTGCTCGTGTGTGTGTGTGCCCGTGTGTGTGTGTGTGTGTGTGTGTGTGTGTGTGTGTGTGTGTGTGTGTGTGTGTGTGTCGCAGCCGCCCTGTTCTTCAAACGCAAGGCGTTCTACAAAGCAATTCATGTGCATCCGGACATCACAAATGTCGAACAGCGCATGACAGACGACATCGAGAAGGTGTGCGTGTGTGTGTGTGCGTGCTGTGCGCCTTGTCATCGTGCTTTTCTCAGTCCTCTCTGCCTCCGTCTTCATGGCTGCCCAACTGCCCCACCCCCTTGCCTTACTCACGCTCGCCTTTTATTGCGTTTGCATCAGCTGTGCCTGGAACTGGCCAACACCTTCCCCGACATTGTCAAGCCTGTTGCGGACCTGGTGTGGTTCAGCCTGCAGTCTTGGCGCCTCATTGGTGCCCGCCGCACCGCAATGCTCTACACATATGTTGTCGTCGGCTTTGCTGTTCTCAAGTCCATCACGCCAAACTTTGAGGGGCTCGTCAAGAAGTCGGCCACTCTCGAGGGTTCCTTCAGGTGCGGTGTGTCTGTCTGTCTACCTGTCTGCCTGCCTGCCTGTCTGTCTGTCCTGTTTGCTTGTCGAGATCAACACCTTCCTCACGTCGTGCTTCGTCTTCTCCTTGATCGTTTTGGCTGCCAGGTTTGTCCAGCGCCGCCTGCGCACGCATGGCGAGTCAATTGCCTTTTTCGGCGGAAACGAGAAGGAGGGAAGCATTGCCCTCGCCGCCTTCAACGACATTGTCAAGCACACCAAGCACACGGTACGTGTACACCCGTGTCACATTGTGCATCGAATATGTCGACACACCACACATGTACATGTGCGTGTATGTGCGCACGCACAGCGTCCGCATGTTGTGTGTGTGTGTGTGTGTGTGTGTGCATGTTCAATGTAAACTCACTCATCATCTCTCGTGTGCATACATGTGTGTGTGTGTGTGCGTGTTCTTGTGTGCCCTGATGCCGTTTAGGTTGCGAGCAAGTGGATGTACGGGATTGTGGACAACTTTGTTGTCAAGCAGCTGCCAACCATCGTCACCTGGGTCCTTTCGCTCATGTCAGTTCCAAGTGTTGGTGCTTCAATGGCATGTGCTCGCGCAGTTGTGTCGACCTGCGTTCCTGTGAACCGATCGAACCTTGAGGGCCGTTTGCGCCCACGATTTTTTCTGCATGCTTCTGCAACGACTCCCCACACGACACACGCACCACACCCTCGCACACTCATGCACTCATTCACTTGCTCGCGCCCATGCGCACACGCACACACATGCACGCTTACGCTCATACTCACTCACTCTCTCACACACATGCACAGGTATGCGCAGCAGGTATCGCCGACTGCTGCGTACACGCAGGATGTGCGCGAGGGCGGGCAGCTTGGCTTTGACCTCCGCTTCGTTGCCAGCGCCATCTCCCACATCTTCATTGGCTCCGGCGAAATGCTCCAGCTGCTCAAGCGCTTCCAGGAGCTCAGCGGCTACGCGCGCCGTGTCATTGGTGAGCACGCTGACGTGTCTGTCTGTCTGTCGGTCTGTCTGTGTGTGTGTGTGTGTGCGTGTGTGTGTGTCTGTGTGTGTGTGTGTGTGTGTGTCTGTCTGTCTGTCTGTCTGTCTGTCTGTCTGTCAGTCTGTCAGTTTGTTTGTTTGCATCTGTGTCTGTGTCTGTGTGTGTCTGTCTGTCTGTTTCAGATGTGGGACTCTGGCTGTCTCTAACTGCGTTTGTGCGTGGTTGTGTATCTGTAACTGCGCGACTCTGCGTGTCCTCTTTCTCCGCTTTTTTCAACATCCAATTCACCAAAATGACACTGTCATGGCCTCTTCACGCAATACAGAGATGGAGGACCTGCTGCTTGCGTTGGACGCGCAGAGCCAGCGGCGGGAGGGCGCCGGTGCCGTGCTTGCAGGCAACATGATCACCTTTGAGGGCGCAGACATTGTCACGCCCACAGGCCGGACCCTCATCAACGACCTGACGCTCTCCATTCCACAGGGAGAAGCACTGCTCATCACGGGTCCAAACACATCCGGCAAGAGCTCCCTCTTCCGTGTGCTTGGTGGGCTGTGGCCGTTGCGTGCAGGCACCATTGTCAAGCCAGGCGGCCACCATAACACAACCGTGAAGGAGGTACATGACTATGTGTGTGGGACTGTGTCTGTGTCTGTGTCTGTGTCTGTGTGTGGGCCTTGCCATGTCGTGATCTGAACACGCGGCTTTTGCTTAACCTGAACTCACACACAAACACACACACACACACACAACTCTTGAATCACTCGGCGTGCAGCTGTTCCTGGTGCCGCAGCGTCCCTACTGCGCATCCGGCTCGCTCGCAGACCAGATCACATATCCCGAGACTGCCGACACAGCAGACCCCGCTGTCATCGCCCGGTGTGTCCATGTGTGTGTGTGTGTCTGTTTGTGTGTGTGTGTGTGTGTGTGTGTATGGGTGTGTGTGTTTGTGTTTGTGTTGTTTGTGTGTGTGTGTGTGTCTGCTTGTTCCTGTGTCGCTGCTGCCCGTTCAACAGCTCACTCTTTTTTGCACTTGTGCATCGCGCCTGCAGGCTGAACGCACTGCTTGCCTCTGTGAACCTGAGCTATCTCGTGGACCGGCAGGGCGGATGGGACGCCGTCGATGCCTGGGAGAACGTGCGTTTAGCGCTCACTTGAACTGTCCACAATATCCATTGAACACACCCGTCGACACACACGCACGCACAGACGCACACACGCACACGACATAGCTGTGTGCATGCTCACATGGGCCATCATTGCACTGCTGTATGTGTGTGTGCGCGCGTGTGCACAGGTGTTGAGTCTTGGGGAGCAGCAACGGCTCGGCATGGCGCGGTTGTTCTTCCACGAACCGCTCTACGGCGTGCTCGACCAGGTACGCGCACCGTGCGGTGAACATGTTGCTCGCGTGCCACGTGGCACATTGTATCCTCTGTGTGTGCATGCGCATTAACCTTGCCTTTACTCAACTTCACACACGCACACACCCACACGCACGTGCACACACGCACGCGCACACACGCACACACACACACACGCGCGCGCGCGCACACACTTGCCTTTTGTTTTTGCCAGTGCACAGACGCTGTGAGCGTTGACGTCGAGGAGCAGCTGTACCGAGAGGCGGAGAAGCGTGGCATCACCATCATCACCATCTCGCAGCGTGCAGCTCTCACCACGCACCAC